GTATGTTGCGGCAAGAGCGAGGGCGCGCGAGGCAACGCACGTGCGGAGGTTGGCGGCCAACCACCGCGACAGGCCGCTTTGAAGAGCGCCCGCTCCCCTGTCTGCTCGTGCACCCAGGCACGGTGAGCCGCACTGCGTCTGATTAGACCGCGAGGGGCGGGGCCAGCTGAGCTGCCGCACCCAGAACCCGCGGAGCGGGCGGCACAGCGGGCCCCGGCCGGCTGCGTCGCGGGGGGCCGCGGCTGGTTGCCCGAGGTGGGAGGGTACGGCTCACCCTCCGCCACGTACTGCAGGTATCCCCTCACGAAGTCGCGGTAGTTCTGGCTGGCCCCAATGGTCTCCACGCTGGGCGGCGCCACCTGGCCGTACTGGTCGAGCTGCGCCTGGTCTTGCACCACCTCAGACTGCTGCCCCTGCGCCAGGGCTGGCGGTGGGTGTTTGGGGCGCGGGCTTGGCAGGTGGCAGAGGGGAGGGAACCCACGGTGTGACAGGCGCGGCAGGGTGTCCCAAGGCGCAGCAAGGTTCTCTACTGCTGTGAATGGCTAGTGGTGCGAGTGTGCGGCACCGCCCCCGCACCGGTGGCATTGCTGCCATGTGGTGAGCGTTCACTCACCAATTGATCCAATGAGGACAACGCACAGGAGGTACAAGTCTGTGCTGAGGTGAGCTGCCATTGGCGCAGCAGCGCTTTGAAGGCTGCTGTGCGCCTTGCTGCGTTGGATGTCACTCGGGGCAGCCACGTACAGTATCAACGATCTGCAGTCCAGCTTTGATAACAACTAAACACGTGAGCGTATCCAAGTAGAACGCTCGCACAGCTGAAAGCAAACCTTGGGATCCCCGCCAAGCGAGCAAGAATGAAACAACGAACGCTCTGGCGGCTTTGGCCGATAACCTAGCAGCAACTTTGATGTTCACACAACAGATATTCTAAACTTGTTATCCTGCCACGCGATCCTCCTTCATCATCCTCAACGGTGCCCTGCTGCACAGAGCGCAAACTGCTCAGTGGAGGTTGCTTGGCGCACACGTGATCCCACCACACGCATGATGAGCATAGCCCGTATGTGTGGAGAAACCTTAGATCAACGCTTGCTCTGCACAACCCGCATGCCAACTTTCCATACCTAATGCAGGCACCTCACACCCACGTCCTCTCACCCTGCCCAGTCATCCTGCCTCAGCATGTAGCCACCCGCCAACGCTTGTCCACAGGCAACGTAGCCCCAGCCTATTTCGCCGCAGTCGTGTCCCCACAACAACCCCATCCCTGCTGCACTGCCGTTGCACAAGTGTGACAGAAACAAATCGCAGCCAGCAGGTGCTTACTGATTGCAGTAATTTACAATGCCGACGTGCCAGTGGTGCACACGCGCCACCGATTCCCGTTTGGCGCCAATCAGGGTTTGATGCACGTACACTTAGCCTTGCCGCAGCCGCCCATGCCCGGGACGCGTGAGTGTGCACCACCTGAGAAGCCCCTGCAAGGGCATCGCTCACGGTCGGTGGACAGGCGGCGGCAAGTTGGGGCCATCCCAGATGCTGGTGGCGAGGAGCACCAGCCCGCATGGTCACGCACTGCCGGGCGCAAGGGATGGCATCGGAGTCCCCTACAGCACGGCAGGTGTGTGTGTATGTGTTTGCAAGTGCAGGTTCATCTGTGACCCCGATGTTGCATTTACGGCGCACGTTTGTACAACTTGTTCGTGCTAAGACAACCTCGTTGTTCAGGTAAGACAAGGAGAGCTCATGGACAACAGCCGACGGAACAACTCAGTCAACCGAAACATGGGCAGTCAACATTTCCCAATGTTGCAGGCTACTAGATAGCACATTCCAATATACTGATTGGTATTGCTGGAGCCACGGACAAAATGTTGCCCCAGGGCAGAGGGTCGCCTTCAAAACACCTGCCCACGGCTTGCACAGTCGCGGTGCAGCAAAGGCCAGCAAAGGGAGGATAGGTTGATTGCAATGGAGGCGCCGTCATCAGGCGGTGGGCCTGGGGCAACAACCACGCTTTTGGGTGGATTGAGTTCTGGGTGGTCCAGCAGCTCTCGGATGTGTGCCTGGCTAAGGTGATACTCGCTGTGCCGTGATGCTGGCACAAAGTGCGGTGTCTATTTAGTGCCAAATCCCGTACCGGTGAAACCCCCCTGATGTACAGCGCTCTCGGGTGAGGTCAGCAGCGGCTTCATGCCTCACCCCGTCCAGCGCATTGAAGGAGAGAGCTCCTCAGCCCTATGTGTGGTCTCACAGTCACAGGGACTCGTGGGCGGTCCAGTCGAAGAGCATGACGGCTGCCGTCACGTTGTCGTCGGAGCCCCAAACCAGCGCACTACGTGCGACTGCGGCGGCGGCCGCTCTTGCCAGCGCGGCGCCGTCGTCGGTCACCTGCCTGCCCTGTTGGGGCGCGGATGGCAGCGTGCCCGTGAGAGGGCGCAGGTGCTAAACAAAGCAGGGTTAGCATCCAACTCGCTTATATGACACACAGCTGCCAGCCCAGTGGGCGAAGATGTCATAGGTGATGAACAAGGGGATTTCAGAGCTTTCACAGCGACCATGTGCATGCTCTGGGGCATGCTGGCATGCGCCGCATCACAAGCTGTCAGCCCTCATGCCGCCCGCCAAGTCTGCCCTGCGTCTACTCACCCTTTCCACAGCGTCCACCGCGATGGCCAGTGCGTCATCGTCAGGCAGCACGTCTGTCACCCCGTCCGTGGCCACCAACAGCAGGCTGTCGCTGGGTGTGAGGGCCACGCTGCGAAGCGCCGGCTCCGGGGACAGGATGGGGTGGGGGTGCTTGAACGCAAAGTCACCCAGGGAGCTGCGGGAGGGGGGCGGCGCAGGGTGGGTGGGCGTGAAGCTCAGGGGTGCTGGAGGAGAGTGAGGGACAGCCATTGGCGCGGTGCATGCATTGGCGCATATAGGGGCGTATCATGGGGAGGAGTGCTGTCCGACAATTGTGCAGCATGACCTGCACATGCAGATAGCGCACACAGCACAGACTTTCTGCGTATGTTTCAGTGTGAGCCATCGCTTCAGCCCTGGCATCGTGTGCGCCCACCGCGTAACCATGGACGCCCAGGAGCTGGCCGGCCCTGTTGAGCCCGCCACGCGTGCCGCCGCCCCCGGCCACAGTGTCACCACCCGCCCGCCTGCCGACAAGACACGCTCCAGCTCGGCCGCGTTGCTCCCAGCGCGGTGCTGTGTGCCCGTGGGCAAGTTGAGGAGGGTACCATGCATTGCACAGGGGCGTCGTACGAATAACAAAGCGCGTGTGGGGCATGCTACACAGGCACAGGTACTTCACGCACACATTCCAGCACTCTAGGCAAAATTGCGACTGTGTGTGCGTGTGTGTGAGGGTGCGCGTGCATGCGCGCGCCTGTACATGCATGCTTGCGCTCGTGCGTGCGTGTGCGCGCCGCTGGCGCGTGAAGAGCCACTGCCACCTGCGTGGGTGGCCCGCCATTTCAGGGCCCATGCATTCCAGGAGCTCACCTCCTCAGAGAGCCGGTGGGCGCGGCCCCCGCGCGCCAGCAGGGCGGCGCCGTCGCCCGCGTTCCCCACTGTCAGGGTGTCGCCCGCCACCAGGCCCACCTGCGCGAAGGCCGTCAAGGGGCGCAGAGGGACGCCGGGGCCGGCACCGCGCATCACGGCGAGGTGGGCTGCGTGTGCGTGCATGCTGCTGCTGCGTGGCCGCGCCACCTCCCCAGCTGCCCACCAACAATGCGGCTGGTTTGCGCGGCCCCCTCCGCGAGGCTTCCCCATGTGGTGTCTTTTCGCACGCCCGGAGATAACCCCACCAAAGGCAGGGTCACAGGCACAGAACAGTGTGCACGCCCGCCCTCCCACCAGTGCCGTGGCGCCGCTCTCGTCCCAGCCGTGCTGAGTCAGCGCGGGGTCGCAGCGCGCGTCGCGCCACCACCGGTCGAACGATAGAAACGCCGCCGCCACCGCCGCCTCGAAAGCGCTCAGCGCCGCGCTGCCCGCGCCGCCGCGCGCGTCCGGCAGCCGGCGCGTGTCGGCAGAGCTCGCAAGGGCGCGGCCGAGCAGCGCGCTGTGCAGGAGCTGCGGCATGTGCTGCGCGGCGAGGGCCGCCGTGAGCGCGCCTTGGTGGCCGTCAAACACGCCGACGCACTGCAGGCAGGACGCGCAGTGTGAAGCCGCCGGCCCCATGCGCGGTGCCGGCACGCCGCTTGCAGGGAACACGGTGGAAGGGGGGGGGGAGGGGGCACGCAGGGGTGGGTATCGGGGTGTGTGCAAGCGCGCAGGTTTGCGAGGAGGGCCAACCCTCAGCCACGACCAACCCTCAGCCACGACCAAACGCACCCAACAGCAGCCAGGCGGACACACAGGGGCCAACCGAGAGGGCAAGGCGCAGCTTTGGCTGTAGCCAGGTGATGATGCAGCCAGACCGCCGTACCTGGTGGGGTCCAGGGCGGCCAGGAAGTGGCGGTCCTCCATGGCGGCCCGGTGGCCCTGCAGCGCGCACGCCGCCATGTGCACGCCAGGCGCGCCGCGCCAGGTCGCCGCCCCGGGGTCACCCGCGCCGCCGCGGCCGCAACTGCTGCGCTGGGCGCCGGCGTGCAACCAGGGCGCCACGGCGCCGGCGCAGGCGACGGGGCGCGGCGGGGGCGCTGCGGCGGCGAGGGGGGGCGCGGGGAAAGGTGCTGCCACCGGGCGCGCGGCCGGGAGCCACAGCTGCCGGGACGGTGACGAGGATGACAGCAGGACGCCCCGCGGCTGCAGGCCAGCGCATGCTGCCGCTGTGTCGCCCTGTTCCGAGGCCGCTTCAAGGCCCGAGAGCGCCTCACCGGGTGCTGGCGCTGGGCTGGGTGCGGCTTGAATGCAGGACGGCGGGCGGATCTTGTGATGTTGTGGGGATGCTCGGCGCACGTTTGTTGCGGGATGACATGTTGACTCCAGAGCCCTAAGCATGCTACAAAGTTGCCAAACACCTCACGGTGCCATCCAGGCCGCTTAATTCAGCTCAACCCTTCCGAGACAATGCGACACGGTCGTGAGCAGCACTGCTGTTAGCCGGGCCATTGAACAAAAAAGTGTGGGAATATAGATGCTTCTGTAGAATCAGGGGCGCGGCGCGGATGTGCATACATGCGCGATGGATGGCTCCTGCCACTGGTGCCCTGCAGTGCAAGCAACTGGCAACCTCAACCACCCACTCACAGCTGGTTGGCAAATTCGTGCCTGGTTGATTGCATACGTCTTGTAGAAATTGTGGATCGAGGCGAACTTCTGGAGATCGGTGACTTGTTGGCACGCCTAAATCGCCAAGCCAGCTGAGGACAGGCATAGCAGGTGATCCACTTTGAACGTCGTCTTGATCGCAAGCCGAGCAGCGGAGGCTGCTCAGCGTCAATCACCGTCGTGCAGCGCGCTGGCAGGTGCGTGCGCGTGCCGTGGGTGCGCAACCCCCACCCCCCTCGGCCCCAATGCTGTTTGGGCGGGCTATGGCGCCAGACGCGATGCCACTGGCCAACAACGGATGCAGGTGCAGTCCGCCCCCTGCCGAGAAATAGTGGTGCACACGCCGACCGCTCCTCCGCAGGCGCAGCTCCCCAGCACCGGCGGGCGCGCGGGGCCGGCACGGCCGCGGGGCGTGCGCGGGCGCGGCGCCGTCAGGGCGCCCCCAGCGCGCACAGCGCGGCGCCATGTCTGACCCCCTGACCTTTGGTCTTGAGGATGACGGCCTGGTGGACCTCACCACTGAGCTGGAGAGAGCCATTATTGACGACCCCCTGCTCGGGGGCGGCGGCGCCGCCGCGGCCCGCGCGACGCACCCCGAGGCGCACGCCCCCGCCGCCGCCGCCGCCGCGCACCACGCGCCGCCCGCGGCGGCGGGGCCGCTGGGCGATCCGCTCTCTGGGCTCGGCCCCCTGGGGGCGCAGCCGCAGGTGCAGGCGCGGGGCAGTGCAGCGGCCGGCGGCCCGCACTCGCATGCAGGCTTCGACCCCTTCGCGAGCGGCGACGGCAGCATTTCGCCGGGTGCCGGGGGCAGTGGAGGCGTGGCGGG